GGGAGGGGAGAGAGAGAGAGAGAGAGAGAGAGAGAGAGAGAGAGAGAGAGAGAGAGAGAGAGAACACATAGATATTCTTAAATACAATCACTAACAATTAGTGTGAAAAGAGGCCATGAATTTGGGCATAGAGAAGGGCATTGAAATGGGGAGGTTTTGGAAGGATGAAGGGGTATGGAGAAAGGTTGAAATTAAATGTTAATTTCATAAAAAGTGATATCAATCTCCTTGGAAACATGAAAAGAATCTGTAATCAAGAATCAATGTAATTTTCCAAAAGGATGCGCTTATTATAAGAGACAAATTTGTCTATCACAGTGAAAATATCTATGAATTTATCATTGTGGTACTTACACTTGTTTCTTTATAAGTGAAAAACCATCTTGCCTTCTAAAAACATTACAGCATTATTCAATATAAGGCAAGCAACATGTGAATCAATATAGATTAAACAAAATAAAGCAATAACCTGGGGCTGCTTCTCCATATTCAAAAAGTCCGCCTTGGTCTTTCCATGGTTTGCTAACTGTTTTGCCCATTTGTTTTTTCTCAGCTTTATGGAGATATGAAATAAAAAAACAGATATTATGTATATTGAAACTTAGAATCCATTATGTTTAATCTACTGTTTTCCATATAATAAAGCTTCTAATACTAAAGAATAACATCAATTTCAGGGGATGTGTAACATGCCCCTCATGGCATGATAACTCCAAGTATAGAGCAATGGCACGTATACCTTCTTTGTAACAAACAGCTTTTTACTTGGACTTAAAACTTGCTCAACAAGGGGGTGAGAGTAACTGGTACTAGAAACCCAGCTTAAAACTCTGTACTCATAAAATGATTATTGTAAAAGATTCTACAACCAGTAATTTACTAAACAACACAACAACAATTTATAAACATTTGTCCTCAAATCCTAATGTAATAGTAGTCTGTTTTACTCATTAGTGGAACTTCTCTTTGCAAGACAGACAACACTACAGCAATCCACAAGCAATGAAAACACAGACATGTGGAGCTCAGTTACAATGGCTCCATCTACAAAACACTCCTGTACCTAAGGTAAGGCTCAGGGAACACTGCCCAAATGGGGATAGAATGATTTTAAGGGCCAGAAGATAGGGGAGCTTGATGTAAGACTGTGTCACTCAGTAACATCAGAAGCAACACCCATAAATTCTTACTAACATGATTGCCCATATGTGAACTGACAAGAATGGTACCAACACATATGCAACTGGATATAGTAATGCCCACTGTGCCTTACACATTTCCAAAGAATTATAGGCAACCGAGGAAAGCTGGGAACAGGAGAGCTGGCTTTCCCCAAGAAAGAATATAGCAACTGGTTGTCTTGTGCCAAAAAGCCAGCTCTAAATACATACATACAAGTACTATTATACAGATTGAACATGCATATAAATGTGTGTGTGTGTGTGTGCGCGCGCACACACACACACACACACACACACACACACACACACACACACACATATACATGTAGTAGGGTTAGTCAGGAAAAGAGGGCATGGATTTTCCAGAGATAAGGAGGGTTTTTTGGGAGGCTTTAGAGGGAGAATGGAAAGAGAGAATAGTTGAAATTAAATTATAATCTCAAAAACAGAGAACTTCTCATGTAAAACATCAAAATAAAACACCTATAAGCAAGAAACAATCTAATTCTCCAAAAGAATGATCTTATTAGAATAACAAGCAAATTTGACACAATACAGTTAAAATTTCTATCAATTATCCAATGTGCTACTACTTGTTTTTTTTTTAAACAAAAAACAATCTTGCCATCTAAAAACATTACACCATTATTTAAATGCAGGAATCATCTTGTGACTCAGTGTAGAAAAACAAAGTAATCACCTGGAGCTACTTCATCATCATCATCATCATCATCTTCAATAGTTATGATTTCGTCTTCCCAAGGTTTGGTGACCATTTTGCCCTTGTGTTTTTTCTCAGCTTTGTTGAGGTATGAAATGAAAAAAAAATTATGTATATTTAAAGCCGGTACACATTATGTTCCATTCAGTATGTATGTCAAGTAATAAATTTTAATGCTAATGCATACCCCCAATACAGTGTTGTTATAAAAGTAGGCTACCATCATGTTCATGTACTGTGTAACAATGTCCATCATGGCATGATAACCAAGTATGCAGGAGTAGTAGCACTCATACCTTCAAGTTAACCAGCAGCTCTTTACTTGGACTTAAGAGCCACTCAACAAGAGGAAGAACATGCCTGATACTGAAAACCTAGCTAAAAAATCAGTGTGAGTAAAGTCATGATTGCTAGGAGTGAATCTATAACTACTATTTCAGTAAACCAGCATAATCACTAACAAGAATCTATAAATATTTGTCCTTATAACCATAGATAAATATAGTCTTCTCTCTTCATCAGGAGAACTTCTCTTTGCAACAGACAGAAACGGCTACAAAAACCACAACGAATCAAAATGCACATTGGTGGAGTCTAATCCAAATTAATAAATCAACAGAACAGTCCTGCACCTAAAGTAAGGCTGAGGGAACACTGCCTATGACACAATGGAAAGATTCTGTGAGCCAGAGTGTCAGAGAGTTTGCTATAAGACTGTGTCTACTAGTAATATCAGAAACAACACCCATAAAGTCTCACCAACATGATTGTCCAAACAGAAGCCAAACAGGAATGACACCTATACATCTGAAAACTAGACAGAGAAAAGTCTACCAGGCCACAACCCTATACTAAAAACATTATAGCATTATTGAATATACAGGAGTCATAGTGTAAATCAATATAGATAATTTTTCTCAGTGTTACTGCTGTATGTACAAAGTGAAAATAAAAAAATGTACATTTAAAGCGAGAAGGCATTATGTTCCATTTGTCCTGCCTTTACTATACTTCCTGCCTGGCTGCTGGCCAATCAGTGTTTTATTTATACAGAAAGACATCCTCAGCATATATGCCAAAAAATAAAGCTTCTACTAGCATAGTCCTGAAAAGGCCACCACCTTGATCACACAATTCCCAATGTGGCATGACAACCCTAAGGATGCATTAGTGACACACATACCTTGGCAGTAAGCAACAACACTTTACTTGGATTTAAGACCTACTCAACAAGACAGAGACTATGCCTGGTATTTGAAACCCAACTAAAACCTCAGTGCTAGTGTGAAGCAATGGTTATTGGAGGAAAATCTACAACCACTATTTTTGCTAAACCAGCTTAATTTCCAACAAAAATCTATAAGCATTTGCCTTTACACCCACATGCAATTATTGAGTTCGCTATTCATATGCCAAAGTGAAAAGAAAAAAGTCCACAATACATCAACCCTAAACAGTGAAATATAGGCAGCCAAGGAAAGATGGAAACCAGAGAAGTGGTCTTCCTCAAGGAAAAGTACAACAATCAGTTGTCTGGTGCCAAAAAGCCAGCCCTGGAAACATACATAGAAGTAGCATTATACAGACTGGACAGGTTATATCTAGGAATACATTATATATGTATATACACATGCACATATGCATGCAGTAAGAATTATTGAGAAAAGAGGCCATGAATTTGAGGAGCAGGAGAGGTATATGGTAAAGTTTGGAGAGAGGAAAAGGCAAAGGAGAAAGGTTAAAATTAAATTATAATCACAACCAAGAACTTTCTCTTTTAAGACTGAAAAGAGTTTATAATCAGAAAACCATCTAATTCTCAAAAGAATGAATTTATTAGAATAACTATCTAATTTGAATAATCACAGTGAAAATTTCTATCAATTTATCACCGTGTTACTTTTAAATGTTTTTTTCTTAAAATGAAAAGTATTTCCTTCTGAAAACACTACACCATTATTTAATACACAGGAATCACCTTGTAAGTCAATATAGATAGGTAAAGCAACACAATCACCTGGGGCTGCTGCTTCATCTTCAAAAGGTGTGGCCTGTTCTTTCCAAGGTTTGGTAACCCTCTTCCTCTTGGGTTTTTTCTCAACTTTGTTGTGTTATGAAATGAAAAACAAAAGTTATGTACATTTAAAGCCAGAACACATTGTATTGAGTATGTATGCCAATTATGAAGGTTCTAATCCTAATGTATAGACTAATCTTGAAAAAACTAAGGTGATACACAGCTTCATAACATGCCCATGTGATATGCAGCTTCCAGTTACCTGGTAACCAAATTTAGTCAATTTTAATATTCTGATGAAGACTGATTGCCAGGCTAATTTTGATTATGTTCCCAGCAATAAATAAATAAATAAAAACCAAATAAACCAATGAGATAGTTCAGTATCAACACCTTAAAAACTTACTTATTAATAATGAAGTTTACATAGTAAAATCTACTAATTGTAACTAAACAAGCCTTTGAGTGAGAGAGACGAAACTATAAACATATTCAGGATCAACTACATTTACTTGGAGTGTTTTACTTTACAAATTTAAAGAGAAGTCAGTCTATTGCTTTGCTTTTTCCATACTCAAAGATGATATAATATGCATAACAATAAACTTGTGACAAGTATCAAAATTTTGTGCTGCTCTGACATCCTACTTTTACTTTTCACCAAAAAAAAGGGCAGCCTATACTCTGTTTCCAGGGTGAATGTAACATTATTTTACTTCCACTATAACTTTCCCACTCAGTTTTAACTAGTTCATCTATTTACAACCAGCTTAATCTTATTTCATTTTAAACAACTACCTTCCATTGCAGGTTTAAGACTTATTGGTTACATTCTATACTATGACACCAAGAATCTTGTTAGTTTTAATCTGCTGAACATTCCACAAATATATGTCATGCCCCAAGGAGAAATGTAGCTATGCTCAAATAGAAGCCGCTGTCCTACTCACTGTGGTTCATATTGCTAAACAGTGCAATAAACACTACCACAGAAGAAAAGTAATCAACAAGAGACAGGTCTGTTATCCCTGTGAGCTAAAATAACCAGCTACTGGCACAATAACAGCGCAAACGTTATAGGACTAACAAAGTACTTTTTGATTGAATTTAAGGTCTACTCCATGAGCTATAACTCATACCTGATACTGTTAGTGAGACCAAGAACCTGTGACAAGATGTCACATTTCAAAGGCAAATCCTATTAACAAGTTTAGAATGGACACAGCAATAAAACAACTCCTAACAATATATTGCTATACTCATTGATTAATTTATCACTCAAACATCATCAGAGAAGCTTCTTTAAGTGGATATTAATTAGCAAAGAGACCTAAAACTGGACAATGTTCAGAGTGTGAGAGACTTTGCAGTGCCCAACCTTAAATAGGATGCCTGTACCACACCCTTTCCCTCAAAGCTCAGATAACTACGTGGAAAAGCAGACAGAAAGATTCTAGGCAGAAGTAGAAAAGCACTTCTCCCAGATAACATTTTTTCAGAAACAACAGATGAATATAAGGACTCAGAAAGACTGCAACAGAATGCACATGTCTTGTATAAGTTAAGGTCTCACAAATTGCAGTATGGAAGAGGGAAGCTGATCACAATTCCCAGCCTTAGCCAAGAATTCATTACTGCTAGAAAAGAGAAAATCAGTTTTCTTCCATGGAATAATACTGAGTATATCAACCACATACCAAAGCAGGCCACATGCTCAGTAGTCAGTTAACACAAACCAGACTCAGTTCAGTTTGGTGATATTGTGTTCCCCAAAATATTGTGCACCCTAATAAACTTATCTGGGGTCAGAGAACAGAACAGGCACAATATTAAACATAGAGGTTAGGCAGTGGTAGCACACACCTTTAATACTAGCATTCCAGGGCAGAGATCTACCTGGATCTCTGTGAGTGCAAGGCCACGCTAGAAACATCCAGGCATGGGGACTCACACCTTTAATCCCATGGAGTAATGGCAGAAAGCAGAAAGGTATTTAAGGCATGAGGACGAGGAACTACAGCCTGGTTAAGCTTTTAGTCTTGAGAGCAGCAGTTCAGCTGAGATCCATTTGGATAAGGACTCAGAAGCTTCCAGTCTGAGGAAAGAGGATCAGCTGAGGAATTGGCAAGGTGAGGAAGCTGTGGCTTGTTCTGCTTCTCTGATCTTCCAGTGTTCACCCCAATACCTGGCTCCAGGTTTGTTTGTATTTAATAAGACTCTTTAAGATTCATGTAGCTGTGTGTGTGTGTGTGTGTGTGTGTGTGTGTGTGTGTGTGTGTGTGTGTGTGTGTGTGTGTGTTTGTGTGTGTCTGTGTGTGTGTTTCAATTTTTATTACAACGTAAAGAAAATGAAGTTGGACAGGTAGGGATGTGGAACACAATTTGAAAGGAGATTGGGGCGGGAAAAAGAGTATGACCAAAGTAAATTGCATGAAATTAAAAAAAAAAATGAATAAAATCATTAAACAAAGAAAATACTTTTAAGCAAAGATGCAACATAAGCAAAGTTTAAAATACATTAGCATTTCATATAATTAAGAAATAGTCTAATACCCCACCACCACCACCAAAAAAAAGGCTTCTATGAGAACAACCAGCAACTTTGAACTAGGCACGGTGAAAACTTCCAGCAGTTTATCATGCAGCTACTTTCTGCATTTGTTTTCTTAACACAGAAAAGAGTCTTTTCTTCTAACACTACACCATTATTCATGTAGAGGAATTATCTTGCAAATCAATAGATCAATATAGAAAAACAAAGCAGTTACCTGGGGCTGTTTGGACATCTTTCCCTGGTCTGGCTTCATCTTCCCAGGCTTTGGTGAATCCTCTGCCCTTGGGTTTTTTCCCAGCTTTGTTGAAGTATGAAATAAAAAATAAAAATGATGTAAATTTACAGACAGAACTCATTATGTTCCTGTATATATGACAAACAATAAAGCTTCTTATCATTAAATATACTCTCTTCCTACAGTGTTGTCATGAAAAGGCTAACATCATGCTCACATGATACACTGCTTTGTTGCCTGGTAGCTCAGTTTAGATGATTTTAATATTTTCTGTGAAGATAACCACCTGGTTATTTTTGTAAGTGTTTGTAGTTAAAGAAGAAATATCAGTATCAATGCCTTCAAATTTAGGTTATTAGGAAAAATGAATTTTACCTAGCAAACATTACTAATTATAAATTAAAACACTTTGTAGGTAGATATGAAACACACACACACACACACACACACACACACACACACACACACACACACACACCATTTTGAGGGTTTTATTTTTTTTAAGTTGAAACAGTCTACTGCCTTGTTTTTTCATTACCCAAAGACCATAGAGGAATGCATAAACATGACCTGGGATAGCAAACATCCCATCTTTCTTCAGCCTTTTTATTCCACTTCTACTACTCACCAAAAAAGGACAGAGTCTATCCTCTGTTGCCAAGGCAAATATAAGATCACTTAACTGGCATCATAAATTTATCCATCATTTACAACTAATACACCTATATGCATCAGACTCACTTCATTCTTCGCAACTACCTTACACTCTAGTTTAAAAAACATACAGTTTAAAAAACACAAACAAAATAAAAAAAAACCTCTAGTAATATTACTTACATTACTTTTTCTTACATTCTCTTCCTGTCATCAGTTTCAGATGTTGATCAAGACAAGACCACCTATGTATGCCTCATGACATTGACATCATCACTGAAGATTACAGCTAAGGCCCAGAAATGGTTATTCTAGGCAATTTCTGAATCTCTTCTATCTCCAAGACTACAGTGTCTCTTTATCTACTGCTATGGGATAATGCTTTTGTACACTGGTTTAATGAAACGCTGATTGGGCAGTAGCCAGGCAGAAAGTATAGGCGGGATAAGCAGACAAAGAAAATTCTGGCAAGAGGAAGGCTGAGTCAGGAGATGCCAGCCCGCTGTCCAGGGAACAGCATGTAATTGCACACAGGTAAAGCCACATAACACGTGGTGACATATAGATTAACAGAAATGGGCTGAAGACTCACAAAATTGTGGATATAAAACATAGCATTATCCAAGAATTGATAGTTTCAGGGAAAGGGAAAATCAGTTCTCTTCAAGGGAGTAACATTGGTTATAGCAACCACACTCTAAAGCAGGCCACATATTCAGAAGTAGCTAGATAACACAAATCACTCTCCCATTTTTTTTATGTGTTTCCTTTTTTTGCTGGGGGGTTTCGAGACAAGGTTTTTCTGTGTAGCTTTGGAGCCCATCCTGGAACTTGCTCTGTAGACCAGGCTGGCCTTGAACTCACAGAGATCTGCCTGCCTCTGCCTCCCAAATGCTGGGATTAAAGGCTTGTGCCACCGCTGCCCAGCTGTGTTTCATTTCTTAAGAAATAGAAAGGCCATCAAATTGGAGGACAGGGACATGAAAAACAATTTTGGAGGACATGGGAGAGGGGAAAGAATATGAACAAAATAAACCACATGAAATTTTCAATGATTAAATAAAATAATTAAATGAAGAAAAATAAAAACATTTCAACCAAAAGTGCAACAAAATTGAAGTTTCTCATACAGTAGATTTTCATATAATCAAGAAATAGTCTAATTCTCCAAAAGGAGGCTTTTCTTAGAACAACCAAAAATATTGGACTAGCACAATGAAAATTACTAGCAGTCAATCACTGAGCTACTTTCTGCATTTGTTTTCTTAAAATAGAAAGGTGTCTTTCCTTCTGAAACTCTACTCCATTATTCAATATAGAGGAATTATCATGCAAATCTATATAGAAAAACCAAAGCAATCACCTGACGCTGTTTGGACATCTTTCCCTGGTCTGGTTTCTTCTTCCCAAGGTTTGGTAAATCCTCTGCCCTTGGGTTTTTTTCCAGCTTTGTTGAGGTATGAAATGAAAAACAAAATAGATGTACATTTACAAATAGAACTCATTATGTTCCTGTATGCATGCCAAGTAATAAAGCTTCATATAACATGAAAAGGCTACAATCATGTTCATCAGAGGTGCAGTCTACTGTTTCACTTCTTCCTTACCCAAAGACCATGTAAATGTGAATCAACAGGACTTGTGATAGCAAATAGCCATTTTTACACAGCCTTTTAATGACATTTTTGTTAATTACTAAGAAGAAAGTAATCTATCCTCAGCTATCAGGGAAAATATAAGATCATTTAACTGTGGCCATACTTTACTCCCCATTTACAACTAATTCACTTAAATATACTTGACTCATTTATTTTTACAAACTGCCTTACATTTCATGTTGAAAACTATTTTAAATAAAGAACTCTAGTAATATTACTCACACTCCTTGTCATCATTATCAGGATTTTCATCAGGATCAGACCACTGATACCTGACTTTATCACAACAGACTTTATCACTAAAGATTCTAGTGACCCTAACATGGTTTTTTTTGGCAATTTGTGGATCTCTTCTATCCCCCAAAACCACCGTGTCCCTTTGTCTACCTTCAACTCCCCTATCTTTAGTTTCAGACCAAAAGATCATGTTTTATACTCTCAATGCAAGGTTTAGCCACAGTACCCACTATTTTCATCCAAGTCATTAGGCTCCTGCTGGATTTGCTCTATTTCTGATGTAACTTGCACTCATCTATCTCCACCAATATTTCTAAATGAAGTATCCCTTTCTTCAACACTCCTGAGTAGTGAGTCAGTTCTCACCTCCAAGTTATCTGTCATCAACTTCCAATAGCAGAATCAACAGACTAGAGGTTAGCAATCTTGTTTTGTGAAGAGCTAGACATTTGTAAATAGTAAACATTCTGAAGGCCATATACAGTCTCTGTCATACAAACCTATTTGTGTGCTTTCTGTTAAAAATAAAACCAATGAATATAAAAACCAATCACATGTCAGAACCACATGGGCTAGATAAGACTCTTGGAAAATTCCATACTAATCTCCAAGGAGGAGTCACCCTTGTAATTGATTTTATAGTATATTGTCATTCTTTAGTGTTTTCTTCTGCTTAAGTTACTACCTCTATCATTCTCTGCTCCATTCAGCAAATGACTCAACCCTCCACTTTATATGAAAACTAATGTCTGTTTTTGTGAATGATCTTAACTATTCCATCACACTATTTTAAAACATTCCTGGGGACATGAAGGGATGGCTCAGCAGTTAAGAGCACAAGATGAGGCCTTTACAAAGGACCAGAATTTATTTCCAACACTTGTATCAAATGGTTCACGACTACATTTCAGAGTAACTACAGTTCCAGAGGATCCAATATCCTGTTTTGTCCTCTGAAGATGCCTGCATGTAAGTGTAAAAACATATATGCAGACACACATCCAGACGATTAAAAAATCTTTTTAAGTTCCTAACTCATCCACAAGGAAATCCAAAGACACTTAAATGGTAAAAATTTGGGATAAATAATTCAAAAGTCTAGTTTTAAGGATGACTAATTGTCCCAAATTTGATTCAAATGAAAAGATAATCAATTCAAGCAGTCAGTTCAGTGATGAGAAATTTAGTATCTTGCATAGGTAACAGAACATAGTGATTTTGAACAAATTATCTAGGCAAAGAAAACTCATTAAATCAAAATTTAAAACTCAATACACCACTGGCCCCAGGCAGTGAGAAGGAGAAGATATAGGACTGAAGGTGGTGAGTGTAGAAGGCCAGACAGGGACTATGAGTGGCATATCTCATCTCCTTCAGGAGGAATCACCAGTTGCATAGCATACCTATAACTAATGTACGTAATATGCAACAAACTGAATGACCATAGGCACATGAGAGAACAATGAAAGAAATATCTTGATAGAGGGAGACATTATGGGGTAAGGAAGAAACCTGGTGCTAGGGAAACTCCCAGGAATCCACAAGGGCAAACTCAGATTAGACTACTAGAAATAGTGGAGAGGGTACCTGAACTGGCCTGCCCTGGTCATCAGATTGGTGAATACCCTAACTGTCATCATAGAGCCTTCACCCAGTAATTGATGGAAGCAGATACAGAAATCCATAGCCAAGCACCAGGCCAAGCTCCAGGAGTCCACTCAAAGAGAGGGAACAGGGATTACATGAGCAAGGGGGTCAAGATAATGATGGGGAAATCTACAGAGACAACTGAACCAAGCTCAAATGAACTCACAAACGTTAGACCAACAGCTATGGAACCTGCATGGTACCAAACTAGACTTTCTGTATGTGGGAGACAATTGTGTAGCTGGGTCGGTTTGAGGGGTCCCTGGCAGTGTGGTCGGGATCTATCCCTGGTGTGTGAGCTGGCTTTCTGGATCCCATTACCTATAGTCGGACGTCTTGCTCACCATTGATGCAGGGGGAGGGTCTTGGCCCTGCCTCAACTCAATGTACCAGGCTTATCTGTGCCCCCATGGGAGAACTTACCCTGTTGGAGGAAATGAGGGAGTGGGTTGGGGGAAAAGTCAAGGTGAGGGAGCAGGAGGAGGGATGAGAGGGGGATCTGTGGTTGGTATGTAAAATGAATAAAAAAATTAAAAAATAACAACACTATCACAATAAGGAAGGATCTACCATCATGGCCTGATAACTTCCTAAAGGCACATCTCCCAGTGTCAAAGTCTCCAGAATTAAATTTTAAAATATGACTTTGGGAAGTTACTTTGTAGATTTAATGTCCACCTCAATAGTTTCTGTATAGCTATACCCTGTTAGTAAACTAGAATTGTCTCACACACACACACACACACACACACACACACACACACACACACACACACCAAAGAAAGATCAATCACGTAGGCCAAACCAAAAAGCTACACAGATTAAAGGTTGTGGGAGAAAAGAGTCAAGATCGGAGTTAGGAAGGTGGGGAAGAATATCTAACAGGAAAGACTTTCAAAGAACCAATATGGAAACTTACTACAGTATAAGTTTCCTGAAACATACACATATTCCCACCCATATATAAAAAAGTTTAAGTGAAATGATCATTTAATGGAGGGAAATAACCCCAACTAGACAACAAATATTACCAAAACTCCCCTGTAATACAAGAAATGGGTTACCACATTTTAGACAAAGATTGTGTTAGACAAAGATGTCCCAGAGAACCCACGCCAAATACTACAGGCCACTGCCAAAGCTATTAATTACCCTCATCAATTTGATGGCAAGAATCACAAGATAGTTTTAATTTACTGAACAAAGCACATACTTCTGTCATAGTGCACAGAGAAACCTAGCTGCTATTCAAATGGAAGCTTCAGCACTAATGACGATCATTCACAGGACTAAACACTGCTATACACACTAGAGAAGAAAAGTAATCATCAGTCTGACTCATTTATTAATCCTGTGACTTACTATATCAACCTACTGGCATCATACACTGGTGCTATAGTGATAAAACTGTTATAGGGAAAACCAACCCTTTTTAATTGGAATTAGGGCCCACTCCATGAGATGGAACCCATATTGGACACTGTTAATATGGATAAGGTCACACGACTTAGTGAACGTCCCACTAGTATGACTCTACTAAATGGATATAGTAAATACCCCCTTAAAGGCATATTATTATACACATTGGTCACCATAATGCTTAATCCTCTTCAGAGAAGTTTCTTGCAGTGTATGGTAATTAACACAGGGATCAACAACTGAACAATCTGCAGAGAATGAGAAACTTTGGAGTGTTGTACCCTAAATGGGATATTTGTATCACACTGCTCCCCTCAAGTCTCAGGGATCTATGTGGAAGAATAGGCAGAAAGATTCTAGCCAGAGGTGGAAAAGGACTTCCACCACCAGACAGTATTTTTCAGAAATGACAGAGTAAACAAACACATGAAATCAGAAAGACTGTAACAGAATGTACAAGATGAGTATAAGCTCAAACCTGACAAATTCTTAGCATGGATGAGGGGAAGTGAGCACAAAGTCCAAGTCCTAGCAAACTGATTTATAATTGATAGCTGCTGAGAAAGAGAAAATCAGTTTTCTTCATTGGAGTAACACTAGATAGATATAGCAACCACACTGTAAGGCAGGCTACATGTTCAGGAATAGTTGACTAACACAAGTCAGACTCCCAATGTTTTTTATGTGATTTTCATTTTTTAAGAGAGAAATAACATGAAGTTTAAAGAATAGGATGGTGGAAGATGATCTGACATGAGCTAGGGGAGGGGAAAGAATATGGTCAAATTAAATTCTACCAAAATTTCAAAGAATAAAAGCAATAAACAGAAAAACAATTTTAACCAAAAATGCCACAAAAATCAAAGTTTTACATACATTTTTATATCACCAAGAAATATTTTTATTCTCTAAAATGAAGGCAATGGTCTAATTCTTCAAAGATGAGGCTTTTATTAGAACAAACAGCAATGTTAGGGTAGCACAGTGAAAATTTCAAGCAGTTAATCATTAGGCTATTTTCTGTATTTGTTTCTATTAGATAAAAAAGAGTCTTTCCTTCTGAAACACTACAGCATTATTCAATGTAGAGGAATTAATTTTCAAATCAAAATAGAAAAACAGCAATTACCTGGAGCTGCTTGGTTATCTTTTCCAGGTCTGGCTTCATCTTGCCCAGGTTTGGTGAATCCTCTGCCCTTGGTTTTTTCCCCAGCTTTGTTAAGATATAAAATGAAAAAAAAAAGTGTACATTTAAAGCTAAAACACATTATGCTTGGTATGAATGTCAAATAAGACTTCCTATAATAAAATATAGACTCTCTTATAATGTCATGAAAAAGCTACCATTATGCTTACATGATACACAGCTTTCAGTTATCTGATAACCCAATTTAGACAATTTCAATCCTTTGTGTTAAGAATATCTGCCATGTTCTTTATGTCAATGTTCACTCTTTTACAAAAAGAGATATTTAAGTATCAACACCTTTACAATTTGGTTATCAGATAAAAAGGACTTTACATAGCAAAATGTACCAATTATAAATTAAGAGAGGTATGAAACACACATGAATATATACATGCGCATACCCTAATATATGTGTTCAAAGATTAACTACTCTCATTTTAAGGGGTTTATTTTATAACTTAAAACAATCTACAGTTTTACTACTTCTGTGCTCAAAGCTATTTATAAATAGGACCAGTGATGAAAACTATTCCATCTTGTTACAGCATTTTTATTCTACTGATATAGGATCAACTGCCGCCAAAAATCTATACTTCATTTACAACTAATTTCACCTATATACAACAGACTCTCCTTGTTTTATTCTTAACAACTACCTTATTTACATTCCATGTTCAAAACTCCCAATTTAAAGAACTCTAGTAATGTTACTCATATTACTTTTTCTTTTCATAGTCTCCCTGTCATCAGTTTCAGGATGTTGACCAGGACCATACCACTTATGCCTCATTACTGTGACATCATCAATAAAAAGTCCAGCTAATACCCTGAAATGGTTATTCTGGGGAATTTCTGGATCTCTTCTGTCTTCAAGACAACAGAATCTGTTGTAGAATATTATTTTAAAGTGTGCTACTTTTGTTTATGCTGCACTTGTTTAACTCTGTGAAGCTGCGTTACTGTTCCTATCTAAAATACCTGATGGTCTAATAAAGATCTGAATGCCCAATAGGAGGCAGGAGACAGGATAGGTGGGGCTGGCAGGCAGAGAGAATATATATA